CTCTGTTCAGTTGACAGGAGAGAACTATGCTGAGTGGGCTACGGAGATGTTGAATGCTCTCAAAGCAAAGAGGAAGACTGGCTTTGTTGATAGTTCGGTGGTGAAGCCGACGACTGCTGGACCGGAGATGGAGACGTGGACGAGTGTGAACTCGATGGTGGTGGGATGGTTGAGAACTTCGATCATACCGCGTGTTCGATCTACGGTGTCGTTCATTTCCGATGCAGCTGAATTGTGGGAGAGTTTGAGGAGACGTTTCTCCGTTGGGAACAAGGTTCGCATCCACCAGATTGTGTCGCTGATTGCGTCGTGTCGTCAAGAAGGACAGTCCGTGATTGATTATTAAGACCGTCTAGTTGTGTTATGGGATGAGTTGCAGAGTTATCGGGTGGTTCCAGTTTGTACGTGTGGAGCAGGAACTCAAATTGCGAAAGAGAGAGAGGATGAGAAAGTTCATCAATTTGTCATGGGACTTGATGAGTCTCGATTTGGCAATGTGATTTGTCAAATTGTCGATGCAGACCCAATGCCGGATTTAGCTCAAGCTTATGGTAAGGCTATTCGTGAAGAACAGAGACTTGCTGCGGTGAAGAAGAAGGAACAACAACATGAAGCGATTGGGTTCAACACGAGATCTGCGCTACATGGTGAGTCCTCTGGTTCAACTATTCGTGATGTTGGTGATGTGACTGGGTTTGTGGCACGCTCTGTTCCTCAAGGAAACAACCGGAACAGAGACCGTACTGTTTGCTCTCATTGTGGGAGGTCAGGTCATGAGAAGAATTTCTGTTGGGAGATAAATGGATATCCGGACTGGTGGATTGAAAGAAGTGGAAGAGGAGGAGGTCGCAGCACAGGACGTGGTGGTCGTGGTAACAGTTTTGGAGGAGGTCGTGGTCGCGGGTATGCTATGGTTGCTCATGCCACAAGTCCTCATGCCTCCGCGTATCCGTCTTTCACTCCGGATCAGTGGAAAGCCTTGGAGCTTCTAGCTCAAGAAAAGTCTGGTGTTGTTTCCGACAAGCTCTCCGGTAAGATAAATAAGGATGTGATTCTTGATACAGGTGCATCTCATCACATGACGGGAAACATCTCTTTATTGAAGAATGTTTGTTCTACATCCCCATGTTCGGTTGGATTTGCGGATGGAAGTAAGATGATATCCACAAGTGTAGGCGTGTTGCCTATATCTTCACATATAACACTAAACAATGTGTTATACGTTCCAGCCCTTGATTGCACACTTATCTCTGTTTCTAAGCTTTTAAAACAAAGTAATTGTGTGGGGCTGTTCACTGATAGTTTGTGTGCTTTTCAGGACCGTTTTTCGAGGACTCTGATTGGAGCTGGGGAAGAACGTGATGGGGTTTCTTATCTTAAAGACGATGCTGCTGTTCGGGTTAACAAGGTTGCATTGCAGTGTGATACGAATTTGTGGCATCAACGACTCGGTCATCCGTCTTTTGCTATGCTTTCTAGTCTACCTATGTTTTCTGGTTTTAAGAATTTAGCTAGCCATGGTCCTTGTGACGTTTGTTTTAAGGCTAAGCAGGCAAGAGAAGTTTTTTTATGATAGTTATAATAAAGCATTGGATTGTTTTTCGTTAATTCATGTTGATGTTTGGGGGCCATATCGAGTTAAGGCTTCGTGTGGGGCAGCTTATTTTTTGACAATTGTGGACGATTTTTCAAGAGCATTATGGACATATCTCTTGCTTGAAAAATCGGAAGTGAAGCAAGTTTTGTAGAATTTTTGCGCTTATGCCGAAAAACAATTTGGAAAACATGTTCGTACGGTGAGAAGTGACAATGGCAGTGAGTTTATGTGTCTCTCATCATTCTTTAGAAGTATTGGTGTTGTTCATCAAACTTCGTGTGTTGCTACTCCACAGCAAAATGGACGGGTCGAACGAAAGCACCGTCACATTTTGAATATTGCACGGTCTCTCCTCTTCCAAGCTAGCTTGCCGATTAAGTTTTGGGGAGAGGCAGTCTCCACGGCTGCATACCTTATTAACCGCACTCCGTCAAAAGTTATTGGTGGTAAAACGCCCTATGAGTTGTTGTTTGGTGAGAAACCATCGTATGATCAGTTGAGAGTTTTTGGTTCGTCTTGCTCCACATATCGTCAATCGCGTGATAAGGATAAATTTGGTCACCAGAGTCGCTCTTGTGTTTTTGTTGGATATCCCTTTGGAAAGAAAGGTTGGAAGGTTTATGATCTTGAAAAAGAAGAGTTTTTGGTCTCTCGGGATGTGGTGTTCCATGAAAATGTGTTTCCATGTGCTCACTCTAAGGTTGTTGATGATAATTCACCACCGGTGTCTTTTGTTGATTCCGATTGGGTTGTTCACTCACCATTGGTACCAGTCGTAAGGGGGAGTGAACTCGTGGAGGTTGAGGCTAGTGTTCCCGAACCGGAATCTATCATTATTGAGAATGTTGAACCGGTAACCCATGTTGTTGATGATGAAGAGCCGGCGTAATCCGGTGTCTCAAATCCGTCGGAGGAGGATACTTTGGCTTCCGATGAAGAAGCTACTCCCTCTCCTATAAATGTTGAGGAGCCGGAGCTAGGTGTTGAGGAGCCGGAGTTAGGTGTTGGTAAACGTGTGAAGCGTCCCTCGGTTAGACTCCAAGGTTATGTCACATACAATACAAGCTGTCTTCAAGAACCCCATCACGCTTCACCCGACTCCGATTCAGACTCCTCGTCTTTGGTCCAAGGTACGACACCATATCCTCTTACAAATTATATTTCTGATGAATAATTCTCACCTGCTCATCGAGTGTTTTTAGCGGCAATAGTGGCCGCTGTTGAGCCCACGTCTCATAAGCAAGCAATGAAAGATCCGCGATGGACTAATGCCATGGGTTCTGAAGTTGATGCTCTTGAAGTTAATCATACGTGGGATGTTGTTGATCTCCCGCCGGGTAAGGAAGCCATTAATAACAAGTGGGTTTACAAAATTAAGTTTCATGCCGACGGGACTGTTGAACGCTATAAGGCATGGCTGGTTGCATGTGGAAACCGTCAAGTTGAAGGTGAAGACTATAATGAGACGTTTGCGCCTGTTGTAAAAATGACCACAGTTCGTGGTTTGTTATGTATTGTCGCAGGAAAAAATTGGGAACCTCATCAAATGGACGTGCATACTGCTTTTCTCCACGGTGATTTAGAGGAGGAAGTTTATATGAAACTCCCTGTTGGTTTTCGTCATTCGGACCCGAATAAAGTTTGTCGTCTCCGAAAATCTTTATATGGACTTAAGCAAGCTCCTCGGTGTTGGTTTGCAAAATTAACCGCTGCGTTGACGAAATTTGGTTTTGATCAGTCATATGAAGATTACTCCTTGTTCACTTATTCACGTGGAGGTTTCGAGCTGCGGGTTCTAATTTATGTTGATGACTTGCTTATTTGCGGCAATCACTCACGTATGTTGCAAAGTTTTAAAGAGTATTTGGGGAGATGTTTTCATATGAAGGATTTGGGTAAGGCCAAATATTTTTTGGGGATTGAGATTGCTAGAAATCAAGAAGGTATTTATTTGTCTCAGCGAAAGTATGTTCTTGATATCATTAGTGGAGTTGGTTTACTTGGTTCTAGACCCGCAAAAACACCTCTCGATCAGAATCCCAAGTTGGGGCTGAGCACAAGTGATTTTCTCACAGACCCGCAACAGTATAGACGAATGATTGGTCGTCTAATCTATCTTCTCACGACTCGTCCGGATCTTGCGTACTCGGTCCATATTTTATCTCAATATATGAAGACACCACGCGTTGATCATTGGGAGGCTGCCTTGCGAGTTGTACGTTATTTGAAATATTCTGCGGGCAAAGGAATTTTGTTGGACTCCAATGCTGATCTCACTTTAACCGCTTATTGCGATTCCGATTTCAGCACTTGCCCGACTTCTCGAAGATCAGTTAGTAGTTATGTCATGTTTTTGGGAGGATCTCCTATTTCGTGGAAGACGAAGAAACAGAATGTGGTCTCGCAATCTTCCGCTGAAGCTGAGTATAGATCAATGCGAAATGCTTTGGATGAGGTCTTGTGGCTGCGTAAGCTTCTCGGGGACTTGGGATGTCCTCAAACTCAGCCTATTCGTTTGTTTTGTGATAGTCAGGCTGCCATCCACATTTCGAATAATCCGGTGTTCCACGAACGTACTAAACATATTGAACGTGATTGTCATGCCGTACGTGATGCGGTTCAAGCTGGTGTGCTTACAATGGTTCATATCCGGACAGATGAGCAACCTGCTGATTTGCTTACCAAAGCATTGAGTCGTGGTCCTTTCCGGAAGTTGTCGTCCAAGTTGGGCATTTGTGATCTCCATGCTCCAACTTGAGGGGGAGTATTGGGAGATATTGGTGTATATTTTGTATTTCCTATTCAAATCATGTTCTAGAAGTATTAGGAAACATATAACTTGGTCTTCAAGTTATAGACTTGTATAAATAGAGCTTGTAATCTCTTGTGAAATAATAAGAAGAATTCATTCTAAAAACCCTAGCCGCTTATAGTTTTACAAAATGTGAATTGTGCAGGAAGGTTTAATTTATTTTGCTAGAACCGGGTGTGCTCTTTTACCAACCACAATTGCTCTATACTTGTTGCCATCATCAGGAAGCTTGGCAGCGTTACAAGCAGGAACAGCTCTAATCGGTCTAAGTTCAGGTTTCATATTTGCAGCAGCTGTTTCTATCACATCTGAGCTTTTTGGACCCAACAGCGTCGGGGTTAACCACAATCCACAACATCCTCATCACAAACATACCTATAGGATCGTTGGTCTACGGTTTCTTAGCTGCTTTGGTCTATGAATCCCATAGCGTGGCTGGGTCAAAGACCGAGTCGGTTATATGTATGGGACGAGACTGTTACCTCCTAACGTTTGTGTGGTGGGGATGCTTGTTGGTGATTGGACTAGCTTCAAGTGTTGTCTTGTTTCTGAGAACTAGACGAGCCTATCAACGTTTTGAACAAGATAGGATAACTTCAAGCATGCTCTATTCTTAGAATTTTCTCCAATGAGTTGGGTGTAAAAATTGGAACTCAAACTTGTTCGGAGATGTGTTAAGTGCACAGAAGTTTTGATCTTTTTTTGCAAAAAATAAGAAGAAAAGAGGGAATCTTAGGACATAACTGCCAGTTATTAACTGGTCATTTAATTTAAGAGTTCAGATTTTCTTTTTGTAGCAATGAATCTATCGTTTGATGGCACAATTCTCAGTCTTTCTGAAACAGCAGCAGCAAGTGCTTCTATCATGTCTGCTTCGTTTCCCCTGACAATGAGAAAGATCATTAAAAGATTATTACAATAGTCATATTTCACGCAGCAATTTTATTGCTTATTATACACACCATCCACGCATATTAATCTATTCGAGATTTATGTTATTTTGGCAATCCTTAATTTCGATATAGCCTAGATTTATACAGGCGTGAGAAATACTTTTGTATGAATTTTTTCATTAGCGTTCACAACTCAAGCAAACTATTTGTGAGATTCAAGATTAATAATGACTCCAAGTTAACGTACCAGTGTTCATTAATGAAACCGATTATATTTGCTATATCAGTCAAAGCTTTGCGCCATCGTTGTTTCTCATCTACTGTTTTGTTCTTGCAAGTTTCTTCAAATAGCCTTCCAAATTTTCCTGTCTGTTTCCTAACATCAGAGGGATCCACTTTGTAGAAAATTGGTATCACTATTTGACCCGACGTTTTCCCACACGTTGCGATCTCCACCAACTCCTGCAGGTTCCAGCTTGAAGAGACAAAGTTTTTCGAGAACACGACGATCAAGATCCTTGACTCTCTTATTGCTTGTTTAATTTCTTGACCGATTACTAGTTCTCTCATTATCTCAGCATCACTGAATGTAGTGATACCTTCGCTATCGAATCGTCGAACAAGGTGGCTGAGGAAGGTTTTGCAGACATCTTGCCCACTGAAGCTCAGGAAAACATCATATCTCCTAACGTGAGACAAAGAAGAAGCCACAAAGACCTTTTCATTGTCTCGGGTTAAATCTTTCGAGCTACCAGGCAGCATAGATTTTCTATGGAGAATTTCTTTACCCATTTTTCGTAGCAAACAATGCATCACTATTTGTCCGCTGGAAGATACATGTATGAGAGACTGATCGGCTAAGTTGTTGATCTCAGAGCCAAAAGCCAAGCCAACGCTAGCAATAAGTGGTGCCACCAAATCAACATCCTCATCATTGAACAAACACGCTATGTAAAGAAATAGAGCTTTTTCCATCGCCGGTAAACCATCATAGCTGACTCTCGATACTTCTTCAACTTCATTACCAGAAACTTCCATCGGATCCAAGGACAAAACTGGAGAAGTATTCTTAAGACTTGGACTGCCAGTTGCAGCAGTTATTACCAGTGTTCAAGAAAGCGCTAGACGCTAAGCGGGCGGTGACCCAGTGCCTAGCGCCTAGAACGCTTAATCGGAGCCTAGGCGATTTTTTAGACGGTTTAGACGTTTATAACATAAAACATTATAAATATGATATTATATATAAAAGTTATATAAAATATCTATATAAAACTAAAATTATGAAATTATAAACAAAAACTAGATAAAATATTTATTTATATATATATTAAATAATATAAGAATATTTATAACTATATATATAAATAAAACTCTAATTAAAATTAAAAAATATATATTAAACAAGATGTATGTAATTTTAGGCGGTCAAGGCGGTTATCTAGGCGTCGCATGAGAGCCTAGAGCCTAGTCGGGGCCTAGGCGACCGCCTAAACCGCTTTTTAGAACACTGGTTATTACATAGACTCCACATCTTGTCACTCTGCAACTATCATTTAGACAATTTGTCTGCTGATTGACAGGAAAGAACTCAAATACAACTAAGTCAGCCCAGATATCAGGGTCATTTCCTTCACCGGTACTTGGGCGCATGTTGACATCACAAAAGACAAACGTATGATCCTTTTGAACATTTGGAACAGCTTCCCCTGTAGCCCAACAATGCAAATATCTTTCTATCCTCTGAGAGTGGCCTTCCTCGTTTTTCCATCTGCAAACACAGCGTATGCCTAAACCAGTAACATCAGAGTAATCATCTGAAAATGAAACTTCCACCAGCATAGCAAAGCCCACAAGCGTGTTCCTCCAAGAAGGATTTAGTCGTGTCATTACAGAAGATCCTGGTTGCAGATCAAGTGTGGCATTTTGATTTGTATGTGAGGGCGCACTGAAGCTGAAAGTCGGAGCTTTGTTGAGATCCTGTTGCAATAACGTAAAGTAAGTCAGATATGATATGAGGAGGATGTGGTTGTGTACATATATAACAGGTATTATAGAGAGAGGGAGAGAGAAGTGGAAAGAGACGGAGAGAGGGACTGTGAGGGAGAAGGGGATTGTGAGGGTGATGGGGAAGGATGGAGAGGGAAGGAGAGAGTATTACCTATGGATTCTCTCTTGGTATGTGTTTTACATTAGTCAGGGCTTTCACGAAAAAATCATTGACGATATGTGGAGATAGGTCAAAAAAATTACTGAATGTGTAATGCATAGGAGGCTTCTCGGAGTCCAAATGAATTGATTTCTGAGAGACACAACCATGTGCATTCAAGAGTTCTAGACATAAAGGAAGTTGTGGCACTTCTCTTAACCCAGTGCCAGCAAGGTATAACTCTTTCAGGTTTCGTGGGAAACCCTGAATGATCTTGAGCTTTGAGCAACAGGAGAGATCAAGAACTTTCAGAAATTTTAAATTAGCCATGTCTGGCAGACTTTGCAAACGAGAACCATGCGCATTCAAGAGTTCTAGACTTTGAGGAAGTTGTGGCACTTCTCTTACTGCAGTGCCAACAAGATATAACTCTTTCAGGTTCGGAGGGAAACCCCGAATAGTCTTGAGCTTTGAGCAACCAGAGAGATCAAAAACATTCAGAAATTCTAAATGAGCCATGTTAGGCAGACTTCGCAAACGAGAGCAATCTTTCAGCTCCAAGCAAATAAGCCTGCCAAGATCTTGACTAGATGAGCTACATTTATCCAGGCTTGTTAAATGCTTGAGTATCAAGGCATGTGAGAGACCTTTGAATTCTGAAAGACTGCCAAGCTGTTCACCATTCGGGCTAATTGGTAGTTTTCTTATGCCAGTACCTTGGAGATGCAGTGTCTCAATATTTGGTGGAATCTCTGGGAAAATTTTGATCTTTGAGCAACCTGAGAGATTGACAACTCGTAGATGCAGCAACTGACCTGTGGCTGGGAAACTTTTAAGGCTTGTACAACCTTGGAGATCAATTACCTCAAGATTTTGAGCTTTTAAGAGATCGTCAATATTAACTAGTTGCTGTGAATGACAAAGCTTGATCGTCCTCAACATCTCAAGGTTCTGAGAAAAAAAACTAAAAGGAGTAAAACACATATGTAGTATTGATAAACGTGAAAGATGGTATCATAGTTTTCTTACAATGGTTCCACCCCAAAGTTTCCGAAGTTGACTATATGGCATGTTAATTTCAACAAGGTTCCTAGGATCAAATTTTTGAGGCAAATACTGCAGAGGATAGTTCTCCCAGTGTAGGAGTCTTAGCTCATTAGGAAGAGAATGGAGAACGCCTTCGGAGAAATTGATTTCATGATGGACTTCAGTATTGGAACAGTAAATCTTGAGCAATCTAAGGTTCAACATATTATCAAAGGCAGCAGGCTTGACATCAAAACTTAAGTTTGATGCATCAAGAAACATGCATTCAATCTCTTCAACGCCCTGAAAGAATATTGGAAGTGGATATATTAGGACGTTGGCTCATAAAGTAGGTTAAATATGAAACTATCAAACTATAACAGACCTGAGCACGTTTGAAAGTTGTTTCGGGTTCTCCATTTGCTTTGTAGTAATTATCTTCTGATAAATATTTGACACTCCAAGGTTCCCACAGTCTGCTGTGCCCCTTTATCTCAACTGTTTCGGCATTAATTATACCTCGGCCAACATCCTGGATCAGATTATGCATCTCAACTCGGTTTTCTGAAATAGTCACCAAACACTTCTCAACGAGAACATCGATTCCTACATGTGGAAAAAAACCACAACCCTCAAGCAGTTGCATCACATAGTCGACATTGTCTCCCTGGAAGAAACAAGCTATGTCCAAAAAAATGTTCTTTTCACTGTCACTGAGTGTACCATAGCTGCTCTTGATTGCATCAACAATCTTAGAAGGAGGATATCCCTTGATTTGGAGGAATGCAGTCTCCATTTCTGATGGTCTTTTACCCTTCAGCTCTTTACCATAAATACTGATAGCCAACGGGTTTCCATTAGAATATTTTATTACTTTCATTGATAGCTCATGGAGATTCTCCTCACTCATAGACGCAGACAGCAAGAAAAGTTGACGAGCCTCTTTTTCATTTAAACCTTGAACCTCATAGATTTGATTGATTCGGCAAAGGCGAAAGACCTGTTTGTCTCTGGAGGTGATGATGATCAGGCTTTGAGGACCGAACCAGTCAAACCCTTCTAGAAAAGACTCTGCGAGCAGAGGATCGCACACATCATCGAGAACAACAAGAACTCTCTTATTGTTTAATTTGTCTCTGCGCAAGCTCATCTTCGTAATGGTACCGCCATTTCCAGGATCGTCTTTCATTAATTGTTCCACCAAAATACGATAAACTCTGTTCTCATGAATAGATGTGTCATAGTCTTCGATAAAACAATGAGCATCAAATCCGCCAGACATCTGGTCAACAACCGCTTTTGCAAGTGTAGCCTTGCCTATGCCAGGCATACCCCAAATTCCAACACAGCGGATGCCCAACGGTTGCTTGTTAATCATATTTTCTACCTCCACCACCTTTGAGTAGATTCCAATTCGTCCCATATAAAAGAGCTTCTCATTCACATCTCTGACAATTTCTTCTACTAGTTTGGAGTCACTGCATTCCTTCCTGTGCCATATTTATTTAAGGGAACATTACACTAGTGACTAGTCTACCAAAAAGTTTTGCTTTTCAAACAGAATGAGTATCTTTATTGAATTCTTAATTTTGTTTTACACAGTTGTGTTTCATTTCGATTGGTATAACACTTCAAATAGCAATAATCAAATCTTTCAACCTTTACCTTTGAACTTTGTTAAAAGCCTGATTTAAAATAATCCAATGAGAGTATTTGAGGAAATTCTTCCAAATATATGTGTTATTAGATTTGAAATGTTCGGGTCGGGCTGGGTTTGGATCTCCAACAATTGCAAAATTACCAGCTTGGTTTGCAATTAATTGGCCCTAATTTTGTCGTAAAGGAAAGCCTAATTAAGAAAAAAATGATGTGAATTGCCAATACCTGTGGACTGGTGATAATCCCCTCAATTCGAGTTCCCTAAGCCATTCACCCTGTAATGGACCGTCTCCGTGCAGCACCGGCACCACCACCTGGTCGTTGTTCCTCTGGCACTCGAGAACCTTCACGAGCTTCTCAAGGGACACCGTACGGTTTCCGGGTAAAACTATCACACAAATCTTAGATCTCTCTACCTTTCCCTGGGCCTCCTCGGAAAGCACATCATCGCTATCCACAAACACATCATTGATGCCTTTCCGGCTGAGAGCGTCCAAGAGGTGGCTGACGAAGGAGTATCGTACCTCGGCTACACAGCTGATGTAGACAATTGGCGAAGCCCTTTCGCAATCGTTCATGATTTCGTACCTCGAAACCTTCAATTTTGCTTGAAGCACTTTGAAATTAACTCTCTATCATGATTTAATGGGGGATCCTGTTGGAGATACATTCCGGTTTAGCTGATCAATGTCGGTTTACTTCAATTCATGATGGTCTACTCTTGGTTATACTAAACGTGGACCTAAAGCTGTGGGATCGTTATCATGGATTCATGGTCATAGTTGGCTTTCGGCATTTTTAATTGTCAACCTTTCAAAGTCCCCCTTACGGCATTTTTGCTGGCGTATATCTTATCTTTTTCTATATTTTCATTTTTAAATGACAAAAACAAATATCAATTGTTCTTATCGGCTGTAAAGAGTTATTATCAATACGATCTGTAATCTACTCATCACTTATCTTAAGTTCTTAACCAACGGAGGGCAATGGTCTCTTAGTATTAGCTCTAATTTATTTGAATATTAATTTTGAAAAATTTATATTTAAGAGGTTGAGTAATGGTTTTAAATTTTGTGTGTGTTCAATTGTAAACTTTTATGTTATGGTTTTTCGAAAAAAAAATAAAAAAACAATTTAAATTTTAGAAAATTTAATAATTTCTAGTTCCAAGTGTTTTTCAATCTTTGAATTTTGTTCAAATTCCAAAAACAATTTTTTACTTAAGCCTTCAGATAACATAGTATAGAATTCTCCGAACATACTTAAGCCTTCTTTTTTTTTCTTTTTTTCTTTTTGGGATTAAATTTGCTTCAATTGTTTCTGTTCTCCTTTGATCTTCACTTCGCCACCACCAAGAAACGATCGGTGCCGTCCCATGGCGACCACCAAGAAACTCGTTTGGATCCACGCGCCGGAACGACTCCGAACCACCAACTAGAGGCCATGTAGAATAAAGACAGTTGTTCCCTTCAGAAGAAAGAGAAAGGCGGACGACATGCAGCAAAGGAACAGAAAGGCCCTCCCCGACGTCGAAAGGACAACCGGAGAGTCTAGGACGATTTTTAAAAAGAAGATCTACATTTAAAGAGAAGAGAGTGAGAAGATAGAAAATAAGTTTTATCTTCACAAACTCATATTTTAACCATTAGACTAAATATCTTTATTTATTTTTTTATAAATTTTAATAAACATATTTTTGAGATTCCAAATCTAAATTCTTAATATTTAAATTCGTAGTTGATTATACTAAAGTTTAATATAGAGTTTACGTATGATTACAATAAAATTTAATAAATTTATATTGGGAAAAATGTCATTTAAATCATCAATTTACCATTTTCGTTGGTTTAAAGCCGTGTTTAAAAAATCGATAGGCGCTAGTCGGGCGGTGAGGATGCGCCTAGCGCCTAGCAAGAAAATCGGGGATTACACGGGGATTAATCGGGGATTAGTTTTAGGGCTATTTAATGTTTTAAAAACATATTAATCCATTATAATTAAGAAATTTATATAATATTGTTTTTAAAATTGTATTAAACACATGAAAACAAGATTTTAATTTTAAATTTATGATTTTTATACAAATTACGAACATAAGTAGGACGTTTTGAATTTTAGATAAAAAAAAAGTAAAAAAAAAAAAAAATTGGGCTAGGCGCCGTCTAGGCGGGCTAGGCGGCCGCCTAGGCGGTCTAGGCGGACAAAAAATCGGAGATCCGATTTTTCTCACCGATTTGGACAAAATCGCCGCGGTGCTCCTCCGATCAGCGCCTAGGCGGCCGATTTTTAGAACAAGGGTTTAAAGCATGAACTCTGGACCTGGTGATTTAAATCTTCAATTTTATGTGGGCATGATGATTTAAATGCTCAATTTATATTGATTTTCAATTTAATCACGAATTCTCGTTGACAAAGCCAATTGAGGTACATAGTTACTTGGCTAAACGGAATAATCAGACGATGTCATCGCATAGTTATTAAAGAGGAAGATGGAAATCATGTTGATGTATAAGAAAAATTATGCGATGGCTTTGAAGTGTCAGTTATGCGATGACTTTCAATTTAATCACGAATTCTCGTTGACAAAGCCAATTGAGGTACATAGTTAGTTGGCTAAACGAAAAAATCAGACGATGTCATCGCATAGTTTTTAAAGAGGAAGATGGAAATCATGTTGATGTATAAGAAAAATTATGCGATGGCTTCGAAGTGTCAGTTATGCGATGACATCGTCTTATTGATCCGTTTAGTCAAGTAACGATGTGCTTCAATTGACTTTGTCAACGAAAATTTATGTTTATGTTTATGTTTATTAAAGATTTAAATCACAAGTTTAAAGTTTATGTTTTAAACTAACAAAAATAGTAGAAATAGATGATTTAAATGATATTCAATAAATAATAAATCTAGACGTTAAAAAAATAATAATATTTTTTCCAATTTATATTTGAAAAAGAGATGTATTGATATTGATGAAAAAAAAAAAAAAAAAAAAGAGATGTATTGATAAACCAGTATATTACACGGTCCTAATTGTTTCTGTCCAATTTTTCTCCCACTTGCACTTGCACTTGCACCTCCCTCGTTGACCAAGTCGCCAACGTGCCGGTCAACTAAAAGAACTTTGCAACAAACCAAGAGATACAAATCCAGACAGTCGGAAAAAAAAAATCTTTTCCATGGCGGCTTCCTCCACCTCCACAGTACCTCCGCAACACCAAGTCTTCATCAATTTCCGGGGGAAGGATTTGCGCAATGGATTCGTCAGCCATCTCGTTGAAGCGTTAATTAGGAATAAGATCAATGTATTTATGGACAAATTTGAAGACAGAGGTAAATCGTTAGAATCCCTTTTAACGCGGATAGAAGAGTCGAGAATCGCTCTAGCTATCTTCTCAGAGAACTATACTGAATCAGACTGGTGCGTGAAAGAGGCGGATAAGATGAACGATTGCATGAAGGAAGGTACACTGGTGGTGATTCCCATCTTCTACAAGGTGAAACCATCTACCGTAAGAGATTTGGAAGGACGTTTCGGTAATAAATTCTGGAGTCTTGTGAAGGGTGATGAGAGGAAGAAGAAGTGGGAGGAAGTTTGGAAGTCGATTCCTAATCTATTCGGCATTACTGTGGACGAGAAAAGGTATTTCATTTCCCCAACGGAATTGTAGATAGATTTAGCAATACCTTGTCGAATCTTATACGGTGATGACCTGATTATTTATTTTTCTCACTCCGTATGTCAGCGACGAGAACCGGACAGTTAATGAAATTGTGGTGGCGGTTTCGAATGTTCTATCCAAAATTCCTTGGGTGGTAAGCCAAAACACCTCTGTGGACCCTTCAGGAGATAGAGACGCTGGAACTTCCTCACCAAGAGAAACGAACGACGCCTAGAGGAATTGGAAGAGAAGCTGGATTTTGAAGACGATAGTCGAACTCGTATCATTGGAGTTTTTGGGATGCCTGGAATTGGTAAAACCACACTCTTAAAAGAGCTCTTTAAGAAGTGGAAGCCTAAGTTCATTAGGCATTCGTTAGTTGATCAAATCCGTCGAAAGTCAGAAGACTCCAGTGTTTGTTTACCCACAACTCTCTTAGGAGAGTTGCTGACGTCGTTGGCAGATCCCCGGATTGACAATGATGAAGACCCATACAACATGTACAAGGATGAGCTGCTCAAACGCAAAGTTCTTGTCATTCTTGACGATGTTAGTACAAGGAAACAAATAGATGCTCTTCTCGGGAGACTTGACTGGATTAAGAAAGGAAGCAAGATTGTCATTGCAACAAGTGACATGTCATTAACAAATGGTCTGGTTGATGATACTTACATGGTCCAAAAATTGAACCACAGAGACAGCTTACAAGTTTTTCACTATCATGCTTCTGTTGATAAATCCAAGGATGATTTCATGAAGCTGTCGGAAGAGTTTGTACATTACTCCAGAGGCCACTCACTAGCTCTCAAAGTATTGGGTGGAGATCTTAAGAAGCAAAATATAGATTATTGGAATGACAAACTGAAGACACTCACACAAAGTCCCATCCCTCGACGCGTCTTCAAAGTAAGTTATGATGAATTGAGTTCAGAGCAAAAAGATGCATTTCTAGACATAGCCTGCTTCAGATCGCATGATGTAGAATATATAGAAAGTCTATTGGCTTCATCTACGGGAGCAGTAGAAGCCCTTTCCGATATGTGCCTGATTAATACTTGTGACGGTCGAGTGGAGATGCATGATCTTCTGTATACATTGTCTAGGGAACTTGATCCTAAAGCATCCACTCAAATTGGTGGTAGCAAACAACGGAGGCTGTGGCTCCATCAAGACATTATCAAGGAAGGCACAATTAATGTTCTGAAGAATAAACTGGTGAGACCTAAGGATGTGAGAGGAATTTTCCTAGACTTGTCTGAAGTGGAAGGCGAAATATGCTTAGATTGCGACCACTTCGAAGATATGTGTAATCTTCGGTACCTCAAGTTCTACAATTCTCATTGTCCCCAGGAATGTAAAACTACCAATAAGATAAACACCCCTGAAGGAGTTAAGTTACCATTGAAAAAGGTTCGATGCCTCCACTGGCTAGAATTCCCGTTGGAAGAATTTCCAAACGATTTTGACCCGATTAATCTCGTTGACCTTAAGCTGCCTCGCAGCAAGATTAAACAACTCTGGGAGGGTGACAAGGTTTGTCTCTGAATAATTTGTTGATAGTTTTGTGAATGGTTAAATTATAGAACTTTTTTTGTTTGACTGGGTGGCTGAACGATTTTTCTTATTCTAATAGGATACACCATTCTTAAAGTGGGTCGATCTCCAGCACTCAAGTAAGTTGTGCAGCTTGTCAGGGTTATTAAAGGCTGAAAAGCTTCAAAGATTGAACCTTGAAGGTTGCACAACACTGAAAACGTTGCCACATGATATGCACAAAATGAAAGTGCTTAGTTTCCTGAATCTGAAAGGGTGCACAAGTCTCGAATTTCTTCCAGAGATGAATTTGGTTTCTCTGAAAACACTTACTCTCAGCGGCTGCTCAAGTTTTAAAGATTTTCCGTTGATTTCAGATAATATAGAAACACTATACTTAGATGGCACAGAAATAAGTCAGCTTCCTACGAACATGGAGAAGCTCCAGAGCCTTGTGGTATTGAATATGAAAGACTGCAAAATGCTGGAGGAAATCCCAGGTCGTGTTAATGAGCTGAAAGCTCTTCAAGAACTGATACTCTCTGATTGTTTCAACCTAAAGAATTTCCCTGAAATCAACATGAGCTCTTTAAACATTTTACTTTTGGATGGGACAGCCGTAGAAGTGATGCCACAATTACCCTCAGTGCAGTATTTGAGCTTAAGCAGAAATACGAAGATCAGCTGCCTTCCTATTGGAATCAGTCACCTTTCTCAACTAAAATGGCTGAACCTGAAGTATTGTACGAAGCTTACATCTGTTCCAGAGTTTCCACCAAATCTTCAGTGCTTAGATGCACACGGCTGTAGTTTGCTGAAGACGGTTTCAAAGCCTTTGGCCCGTATCATGCCAACCGAACAGAATCATTCCACATTCATTTTCACCAACTGTCAGAACCTGGAACAAGCTGCAAAGGAGGAAATCACATCGTATGCTCAAAGGAAATGCCAGCTGTTATCATATGCTCGGAAACGCTACAATGGGGTATCTCTCTGTACCTATCTCTACCGCTTTGTCTCACTCTGTATCCCTCTCTCAGATTTTTGCATTTCAAAGAAACTCTGCAGTTTTAAGATTTTACTTATTTGAACTTTGCAGGGTCTTGTTTCAGAGTCTTTGTTCAGCACTTGCTTTCCTGGATGTGAAGTGCCTTCTTGGTTTTGTCATGAAACAGTTGGATCTGAGTTAAAAGTAAAACTCCTCCCACATTGGCATGACAAGAAGCTTGCCGGGATTGCTCTATGTGCTGTAGTCTCATGTTTTGAACACCAAGATCAAATCAGTCGATTTTCAGTGACATGCACCTTTAAGGTTGAAGACAAGTCTTGGATCCCATTTACTTTTCCAGTAGGAAGTTGGACCAGACATGAAGACGGAAAAGTGACCAGACATGAAGACGAAAAAGACAAGATTGAGTCAGACCATGTGTTTATTGGTTACACCAGTTACCCACATACTATAAAGTGTCCTGAAGACGGTAACTCGGATAAATGCAATTCTACCCAAGCCTCCCTTAATTTTACTATCACAGGTGCGAATGAAAAGCTTAAGGTGTTGCAGTGTGGTTTCAGTCTGGTGTATGCAAGGGATAAGTACAAAAACAGTTCTCATGAAGCAAAGTACGATATGCCAGTTGAAAAGAGCTTTCAAGAAACTTCAGAAGGGGTTTATGGAAGAGTAAAGAAAAAGAAAAAAACAAGAAGGGATAATGGACGACCAAAGAAGAAGCAAAGATCAGGAAGAGATGATAGGGCCTGTTCGGAACATTGTCACTAGCGACAATAGATAGCGACCAAAGACTCTTATGTAAGTAACTCGTTTGAAGGGAAGATCGTGGAGAGTTTAACACCGACGTTGATATTGGAGACGCTGCGACTAACCAAAACGTCGCCGATAAAACCAGCGACACCATCAACAGCTTTAGAGTCAAATAGAAGTCGCCAAAAAGGATCGCTGAGTGTCGGTGGTGAGAAAGTGTCGCTGAAAATTTTGGTCGCCGTCTTGATCGCGCAACAAGAAAAAGAACAGGCTATAATCAAACTGAGATGCAAATGGAACTCCAAGAAGGAAAGATAAATTCAGTGGTCACGCACATGGTTAAGATCAATTTCCAAGGGGGAGACAAATCTGTTCAAAATGAATTCTTAAACAAAAACTCCAAGTCGTGATGAAGAAATCCAGCATGACTAAAGATGTGAGTCAACTCAAAATCCTGGAAATTTTAGAGGAGAAAACGCAGATTTTATTTTTCTTTAGATTCATTGTTCACGGGACGTCCTGTCAAGTTTTAGAGCAGAAAGGTAATATTTTATGAGAGACTTTACTTAGCTGTTTCTGGCTCTTGTTTGGTTATCTTTCAGGTATGACTCTACACTCTAGTATTTAAGCTCTTTGTAAGACTCTTTTTTCAGTTGAATGAAGACAATCTTTTTCATAATTCTCTCTCACACTAATAATCTGAAATGGTAATCTTTCGGCATGATGATTGTGTTAACCCCACTTATTTTTTTGAGTGCTGCCGTTGTTGTTTGATGTGTGTAGCTTGACTGACACCTTTCAGCTCTCAAGCCGTCGTGCCAGGTAAGGATGAAACCTCTGTGTTTTTTTTTTGTTTATGAGTGTTTGGGTTTCATTTTGACGATCTTGTAATTGAATGAGAGGATTTGGGTTTGGCATTTGTGTGAAAGTGGGTTTGTTGGAATTTCTCTTTGTGCTATTGTCTCGTTTCAAGACTACGAAATCCAAAACAACAACCTCATGGTAAAATGCATTCAACAATGTTGAACGTCCTACTAGCTTAATTAACTGCAATGTTGGAAGGTTATTCGAGGCAGGCGATGAGCAACACACGATTAAATCTACTCACGGTTTCATTGGCTTCACCAGGTGGTTGAATATCAGCAAATGTCAAGAAGTCGGCCTTAAGAAGGGTTTTATTCCTACTAAGGCTCCCATTAAATGCTCGAGAAGTGGCAGATAAATGTTTTGAGATTGACTTAGTGTTGTTAGTAAACAGAGTATACTCTGCCAACAATACTCGAGTAAAAAAGAGATGGCTAATTCAAGACTGATTGCCATCCGTCTTTCTGTCTCCTCGCGACGCCACCGAACTGCCACTGTCGCGGCTCGTAACAGCCTCCGTCAATCGTTTGAAAGATTCCTCCATCTAGCAGTCATCTCCTCCATATCACCTTTCAAATCGAACATAGTACTGTTCATCTTCTGCATCTCATCCTGCATCATTCCATGACTCAGACTCTAATTCCTCCAGTCGTTCCGCCGGATATCTCCGGAGACACGATATGTTTCCCTTTTCGTTTGGATTGCTGGAGAGTAATGTTGAATATTGAAAAAAAAGGTAGCTCTGATACCACTTAATGTCTCTCTTCAAAGCAAGAGAATTGAAACTTAGACACAAGATTTTGGGTAGTGAATACTACCTCTTTTTTTGTTTTTTTGGATTTATATAGAAAAGGAAATGGAACTCTCGTTCCTACAAAACATGAAACAAATGGGGAAATGGGAAAGTACGTGACTTTTCTGATCCTACAATTCAGGAACAGAGAAGACCAAGTATTGCATAATTAAAACAATAAGGAAATAGAGACTTAGTCGTTATACTTAGGATTTGGTTTCTTTTTTCTTGTTGACTTTCCCTCCACGCTCAACGTCTCTCGTCTCTGTTACCTCATCATAGTGCTCAAAGCGAGAAAACTCATGGGTTCATCAACGCTTTTTTTTTTTTTTTAGTGTTATTTTCTGAGATGCAACATAATTTAAGGCATTAGGGAGGTGAAGAAGTTCCAAGCCAGATTTGAAGGACTTTAGAAGCAATTTTAGGTTTGCTCTTTCTCAAATATGAAGCACGTTTTCTGAAGATTCTGTCGATTTGGGCCAGTATTGCATCCGCGGATTGATAACATCTGCGAAGACGTTGGTTTCTCTCAATCGATAGACCGTGGATAGTTGATCTCCATGCCATTAAAGATAGGACATTTTTAACTTTGGATCCTTTGAGGCTTATCATGGCAGACTGAGCATCTTCCCATAAACGTAAAGGAGGGAGATGCATTCGATTGCATATTGCAATCCAAATCCACCAAGTAAAGGTGCAATCAATATAGAGGTGACATCTGGTTTCGCTTGCTGAATTACAGAGAAGACATATGTTATCTATTTGGAGTCTCCATTGTCTCAATTTTCTTATGGGTGATGGTGCAACTTTTGGAAAAAGTTTTATCTCAATGCAACCTGAGAGATTTAGTTGGTGAGGCTTAAGCTGATCAGTGACACTTATGCTTTCCATGATTGTACAATCCGATATTTCTATTACTTCAATTCGTTTCTTAAAATGGCCAAGCTTCATTTTCTTCCAACTCAGAAAGCTCTAAGAAAAAAAAAATTTAACTTAGAAAAAATAATCAGTTGTGTTCTTAAAACTGAAACGTCAACTGCATGAATAGAATAGTCTACGTGTAATGACCAAATTATCTAATAATATAGATGAAGTTATTTGACAAGTTAATTAAAGAATGCACGTCTACGATAACTTTTGGTTAATAATCTTTTAAATATTTATTTTATTTAATAGAACATAATATATATTTATTATTTACAAATACATAATATAATAGATGCCTAATGAAAAACTACGTACTGTATAATGTTTGTTTCTATTTATAAAAACCGATTAATACCCACTACATTTCTTCTACTTTCTAAGAAAAACAGATTAATTATAGAAATGACTTAAAGATTTATTCTTAATTATACTGCTGTAAAATAAGTTCCATAAAAATAAGCACTAGATAATATACTTTTGAACATTTATATATTCTAGTTCCATATATTCATTTGCTTGTGATAATTTTACAAAATATCCTGTACTGCATTAATATATAATAAAGATAGTATTCAAAAATCAAAACTATATGATTAAATTGTATATTTTGATTTTAGTGATATTATTCCAAAATTTTAGTATAATTAACGAGGATCCTAATGTTATAAGTATTTTTTGTTTGCATTTTTCTTTACTACTGAAAATATTGTTTAGAATTAGATCTCAAAAGACACAAATAATTTGAGATTTTACTATCAAATATCGTATCATTTGGAAATTGCAAACAAAAAACCGAAACCGACAAATAGTAAGTTTAGTTTTTTTCTAACATGTATTCTACGAGATTTGAATCTTAATGGTAGCACACCGACAAAACCGAAATAATCTTCTAAATTTTGATTAAATATTTTTTTATGTGAAATTCCTAATATGTATGTGCGCCATAAACATAACATCTCTTGCACTTCTAACTGATGTAATCATGTAAATTTTTGGGAGAAAAAAGTAAAAAAAATGATGAGTTTTGTAGAGCTCCCTTACCTTATATTCTTCCCGCCAATGCTTGATAATCTGACAAGCAATCATAGATTCTTGACAGAAATGGAGAATCCTCAAGTCACTAGGCAATGACTCAAGGGCACGGCTAGGAACGTTAAGATGCGGGAGATCCTTCATATCAAATAGATAGTTGTGTGAGGGAGCACAAAAGAAAGACTGTGGCAAAGAATAATTATACAAGTCAAAAGCCCTCAGGTCACTCAACATAGACATATAGAAGCAGTTGGCTATGTCAAGTCCCGGGAGCTTCTCAAGATCAAGTTGATAGTTGCATGCGGTGGAGAAACAATTTGTAGTTGCCTGAAAACACAAAAGAGGTGTGTACTTAGAGTAATTAGAAAAATCGTGGCAACCCCAGCCCAGAGCCGTCTCCAAGTCTATTGTTTTCTTGCCCTTCATCTTCTCGGCATATGAGCGAATAGAAGACGGGTTCCCATCAAAACCTTCAATTTCTCTCACGAAAAGCTTCAGAAGTTTTTCGTCTATAGCATCTTCCCCAAAGAAACACCTAGTGAATAGCTTCATGGAATCTTCATTTTCTAGACCTTTGAGCTCATAAATCTCATTAACATGGCACTGCTCAAGAACTTTTTGGTCTCTTGAGGTTATGATGAGTAAGCTCCCTGGACCAAACCGATTAAACCCACCAAGAAAGGCCTTTGCGTCTCGAGCATTTTGCACATCATCTAGAACCATGAGAACTCTTTTTGAACGGTGGCATGGCTCGGCATCTTGATTGTTTAGATCAAACTTTTCCATTGGAATCTCTTTAAAGTCTTCATCAGACAAAACCTCAGTTATCTTTTCGTTGCTGACTATGATGAAGTGGTAAGAATCATAGCCAGCCATTTTGCGAAAGGCGGCTTTAACCAATGTCGTTTTACCTATCCCAGTATCACCAAAAATGCCTAGACTGCGAAGGCTCCATGGTTGCTTGCATACCAAGTGTTCTATCTTTATTAACACCTTGGGGATCCCAATATTTTTTGTTGGATAGAGCTTCTCAAATATATCTTGGGCAATCTCTTCTATAAATTCGGATTCTTCCCTGCAAAAAATTAATTGTTCGTACTTTAGTTTGATATACTGTAAGAAATTTTTATATAAATAAACTCAGGTCTTCTACAAGTTTTTCTAGTACTCAAAACATTAGGCTAGAGTCTTTGCGAGGTTTACAATTTCTTGAAAAGATTTATAATATCATTATGTTGAACACACATTATCTTAGTAAATGGGTTTTTATTATGTAATCAACGTTCTACAATGAATGAATTAAAAATTATAATACAGCACAAACAAGGCATGCAAAATGCCATTATATAACTGGCGAATCTATATATCATATCTTGTGAAAGTCTAAAGGCTTTCCAGATTACTTTTATATATATAACTGGCGAATCTAAACCCAAACCCAAACTAAACTGAACCGAATATTTTTGCTATTTAAGATAATTGACAATGATTTACTAAGATTTAAATAGCATTGAGAGAACTCGTTTTATATTAGGGCATGTATATATTGGAAAAAATAATGGCTCAAAACTCCAATTGTAACATTGTAAGAAAATATTGTTGAAATAGCATTCGCATATATACCTTGGTTTATCGTTATACGCATGGCCTTGTAATTCCATGGTTTGGACTAGCGCACGCCGCCACTTAGTCACTTGATCCACAGAAAATGACTTTTCGAGCACCGGAAACGCTTCACACATCTCCATTTGTTCTTTTATGGCCGATACACTTTCGTCGTAGAATACAGGAACCACCACATGACCCTTTTCTTGCAAGAACTCCTGAAGCTTCACGAGGTTCTCTAGACACGCCACAGAAAAAATGTAAGGCTTAGAGAAAACCACCAAAACAAGCTTGATACCAAAGAGCCGACCGTTCTCTAGCTCGGGGCTGGTTTGGTCCGATACGACATCGATCCCTTGGCGGTGTAAGGAACCAACAAGGTAGCTGTTGAAAGAAGAGACGTATGAGTCATTGTTGTCGAAGATAATGTAAACGGCTTGCTTGGTTTCGTCGTTGAT